GGTTGAGCGGTTCCTGAGATCAGCACGAGCGAACACCGCGACACGGGATTTTTAACAGAATTCTTAGAAAGAAGTTCTCTATACGGCTGTTTTTTATGTTTGCTATCTAAGAACTCCGTCGATTTAGTAAAAAATCTTTTATTTATTTAAAAAATACACTTTTAGATGGATCCCGTAGAGGTTTCATCAAAATCGCTTTAGTATTTTAGTTTATATTTCAAAATAACTGATATTATATAGCTTAAATAAATAAATAAATTATTACAACTGAAGTCAGAACAACACAGTAAGTATTTTATATTATTCTCAATTTCGTGTATAATATAGTATACATCATATATGTGTACGTATATTTGTTATTTACATATATATTTATTCGTTTATATATGTAATTTTAGTATGTATGTATATCAATAATTAGTAGTACCGCATTCGGGTATTCTGACACTTGCCTATGGTTGACTGGGAGAGAATGCTTTTAGCATTAAGTCCGCCATGTACACATATATGTACTAATGAATAAATAAATAAATAATGCCGTCGCTTTTTTGTAGAGAAAAATTTATTTATTACATATTAAGATAATGTAATAAATTATATAATACAAATTTATTATCATAAGTAATTATCCTGTTATCTGTTATCAACGCAAAGTGAGTGCAGTAGCATCGTCATACAAATTACCTTGTACCCCATTTTTTTTTTAATTATTTTAAATTATTATTACTCGTGTATACTTAGTTAAATCCCACTACCTATCCTTATAATCACTTAGCCCTACGTATTTCCAGTTTTATGTGTGTTATATATATATGTGTATTAGTGTGGTATATTTGTATGTATTTATGCGTATATGTATATATGTATATGTATGTATATATATTTATATATGTATGTTTATGTATATATATATGTATATATTTGGATGTACGTGTATATGACTATGCTGTTACAGATATTTTTTTTTTCAGGTCTATTTTTTTTAACGCGCCACCTACCTATTTATGCTTTAATTCCTTCTACCCAAAGGTTGTCTGGAAGAGATTGCTTAGCAATAAGACCGCCTCTTGTACTACACTATACGTATTGAAAATTGTTCAACAAATCCTGTGATGTTGGTGCAATAAAGTGTTAAATAAATAAATGAATATACTTGCCTTTTGTTAAGAAAAAATAAATTTAATTCCTTTGTTCATCTATTTGAATTCATATCTATGAAAAGAATATTTTATTACTGTTATTGTATTAGCCGTTGCTTGTCCACTGCTGGACATAGGCCTCCCCTGTAAAGGGAGTATTGCCAGTAGTCGCCACGCTTGGCAATCGCAGTTAGGCTTTGGTGGTGTTTTAAGAGGGGCGCTTCTTCCTATCGGTCGCCTCTTACGACACCCATGGGAAAGAAAGGGGTGGCTTATTCTATGCTGGGACCGCACGGCGATAAAATAATATTATTCAATTGTAATTTTATTTATTTATTCGATATAAATATTTGTGCACGGATTCCGCTGATTTCTTTTTTTCAAATAAGAAAAGAAATATATGGCTGAACATAAAATAATATTGTTTCAAATTTGACAGCACAGATAAATAGGTAATATGGAGAAGCTTTTAGTAACATTGTTTCTATATATAAAAAAAATAAAAAATAAAACAAACATACTCATATATATGGAATATACCAGAGGTACAAAAGTCATTTGCTTGGGTACTTCTGTCCCATTCGTGTTTCAATCGTAAAGTAGTTGTGTTTTTTTTTTTTAATTGATGAAAATAGTATGGTAACCCCGCCTGCGCTAACGGGCTACGTTGGCGGAGCACCAGTGAAGGGTGATAGATGAGAATGAAAACAGGCCAGTTAGTCCATCATGATGAATTCATCAGGAATTAACCATGATAGTTGCTAGGGGGAACCGCGAGGAGGTCGACCTGGTTAGGTATATTGCTAGCAATGGTATTCTCAGTCTCCATCACTAACAATCCCTTTCCCCCCAAAGTAGTTGTGTTTCCGCATGCTTTTTTGGCCCCTGTGTTGTAAAAAAAAAATACATAGGACGGTAATCAAATTTAATGGCAGCCATTCATAACTGAACGACTAGTGAAGACTGAATCTAATTAACTTTTATTGGCGCTCGATTATCCGATATTGAATTGGTGAGCAAACCAATTTTCTAAATCCACTAGCTTTTACCGACCATAAAATTGCGGCCATTGCTTTTTATAGATAGTGAATTTTTTACTAATATTATACATTTTTTTTTTATTCAATTTAGAATGGCAAATAAGCTGACGGTCCACCTGATGGAAAATGGTAACCGTCGCCTATAGACATGTGCAGTACCATGGACATAACAGAGTATACTGTTTCGTCCATGATACCCCCCATGCGTTGGCATTCCTGAGGACTCAGATGTTATTCCTCCGTACCCTGTAAATTCACGCTATATCCCATCCTTTAAAGTGAAACACAAACACAGCCATGCAAACCCAACTGCTTTACAGTTGGAACACGTGTGGCGTATTACTGGCCATCACAATACGCCTTTTATATAACTGGCCATCATATTCCGCCTGTCATATTTTTATATTTCTATTGTTCTTATGTTTTTAGAATTCTGTCATTATTAGTCTTTGTTTCCCTACCGATGAAGACGTGTTAAAAGAGAACTACAATATTAAGCATTTTAATTTATCAACCGGTTTCTCTTTTTTTTTTTTATACTACTTAGAATGGCAAACAAGCTGACGGCCCACCTGATGGAAAGTGGTAACCGTCGCCTATAGACATGAGCAGTACCATGGACATAACAGAGTATACTGTTTCATCCATGATACCCCCCATGCGTTGCCATTACTGAGGACTCAGGTGTTATTCCTCTGTACCCAGTAAATTCACGCTATATTCCACCCTTCAAACCGAAACACAGCCATGCAAACACAACTGCTTCACGGTTGAAACACGAACGGGACAGAGTTACCCAAGCAATCGACTTTTGTACAAAGTCTCCCTGTGGTAAATTATTACTGTTACTTGTAATAATTTAAATTTAATAAAAAAAAAATCTAATTATCTGTTAATATGACTTTTATTTATAAAATTTAAAATAATTAAATTAAAGTGAAATACACAAGGTGTTATGTCGTATTCAGTAATTTCACAGCCGTATTCCTTTCCCTTCAAACTGAAACGTCGCCGAATTATCCTCCCAATCACGTTTGTACGTGAGACATGCAAATTATTTGGATCCGATATCGGCTGCCACATCTAAAATGGTCGCGGTATCTGGATCACACACTTGGCATCGCGTACTTTGATCGATACCCGAGCAGTGATGTTTTATTACAATGCGAATTGAGTTGTTATCGGCCGATATTCTTTATTCTTTTTACCTCTTTTTACCAGAGGGAGACTTTGTACAAAAGTCGTTTGCTTGGGTACCTCTGTCCAATTCGTGTTTCAACCGTAAAGCAGTTGTGTTTGCATAGCTGTATTTCAGTTTGAAGGGTGGGATATGGCGTGAATTTACAGGGTACTGAGGTATAACATCCGAGTCCTCAGGAATGGCAACGCATGGGGGGTATCATGGGCGAAACAGTATACTCTGTTATGTCGATGGTACTGTTCATGTCTATAGACGACGGTTACCACTTTCCATCAGGTGGGTCGTCAGCTTGTTTGCTATTCTAAGTTGTATAAAAAAATTTTCTTTATTTTTTATAGCTACTTCCAAAGGAATCTCATATAAAAAATCTATGTATATCTCTATATGTATTTAAAAAACCAACAGAGTTTCGTGCCTCCAGTCAAACTGTTTATAATTTCTCTTCTCCATCCAAAGGTTGCCTGGAAGAGATCGCTTTTAGCGATGAGGCCGCCCATTGTTTTCTTAGTGTAATATTTTCTTGTAATTGTTTATATTTATAATAAGTTTACTATTGTAATCTTTTGGAGGAAACAATAAAGAGTATCTATCTATCTATCTATCTATATTAATAGTTATTACATTGATTGCAGTGTAGGACGATCCCTCATTAGATGGAGTAACGACCTGAAATGCGTTGCAGGGAGTCAGTGGATGCAGGTGGCTCTGTACCGTTCTTTATGGCAGTCTATGGGGGAGGCTTATGTCCAGCAGTGGACGGATAATGGCTGACATGACGATGATGATATTAATTTCTGGCTTAAATAGCGAAACAGGTTTTAACATATCAATATTGTGTACAGGTAGGCAAATAACATAGGAACGTCTAATTGTCCAAGGAACGGTACAAAGCAAAAGTTCTCGGGGTAGATCACCAACGCGATGGACAGACTTCATCAAAACGGCCACACAGCAGTCTATTGTGGAATACTCTCGCTTGGCTGTGAACAGAAGTAGATGGAGACATATTGCGAGGGCCTCAATCGCGAAGGAGAGCCTCATCGACGATCCACTGTCATTGTGAAAACCACGACCACTCTGTCCAGAGTGTACGACTGAAGAGAGAGAGATTTTAAAATAGTACAGTAGAATCTCGATTGTCCGAATCAAATAAAACCAGGGGTATTCCATATAATTGGAAATCCGAATACACGATTTCAATGTGAAATCAAACAATAATTCAATTTTAATATATTTTTTTTTATTGTGTAAAGGGTTTTTATATACGTCGTTTAAACAATACGATATAAAAAATTATGAGCTATAAAGATAATGGATTACACAATACCTGTGTATTCTTTATTAAAAATAATAATAATAATCTTTATTCAAAACAGATGTGCTTAACCATGGTCCCCATATGGGTCGAGTCTGTATCTGGGGAACCTATTAAATTATATACACTTTTGTAAATTTGATATTCTTGTTACAGTAACTGGATATAATGACTATATATTACATGTGCGTGCGTGCGTGCGTGCGTGTGCACGTGCATGTGTGTGCTTGCGTCGTACGTGCGTGCGTGCGTGCGTGTGCACTAGATGGCGGTGTGTGTATCCAATGTGCAAAACATATTCATACTTTAAAGTCACCTTCCGCCGACTCGAGCAGCCCAATTGTGATGCAATAATCTTCTTAGACAGTTTCCTGAAAAGAGGAAAAAAAATCAAAATGAGATTTTGTTTTTATTTTTACAATGTAGGAACTTTTCGATTCGCGTATATTTTTTTGTGCATTAATTTTGTGACAATTGAAGTCATCTGTCTCTTTCGCAGAGCAAATTTTTAAATTATGGTAATTGTTAACAAACAAGGAAAAATATTTTATTCAAGTACTAATAAAAAAAGTTCGTGACTGTAAATATACCTAAAGAAATTATTTAAATTTAAGATATTGTACTATGAATTTACCAGAGGGAGACTTTGTACAAAAGTCGTTTGCTTGGACACCTCTGTCCTATTCGTGTTCCACTGCCATATACCACTCTGAAAACCGAATCACAGCCATGCAAACACAACTGCTTCACGATAGAAACACAAATAGGACAGAGGTGCCCAAGCAAACCGCTATTGTACAAAATCTCCTTCGGGTGTGCAAGTAGTATGGAAAAAACGTAAATCAAAGTACAAAACGATAAAAAAAAGTTGAGTCTCCTATACTTACGAGAACTTAACAGCTGAACGCACCGTATTAGTATGGGACGTTAAAAAAAATTTGTCATTTCAATTTCAGTCCACGCCCTTTGGGAAAAATATTCAATTTCGCTGGCATAAGACTTGTTTAAAAGGAATGTAAATAATTTAGATATCACCGTGGGCATATGATACGCAGTTATGGAGATAATATTTTAAGGAAAGTGCCTATTAAATATGGTTGTGGATGGTTATAAGGGTAGAGAGAGACTTAAAAAGATATGGATAGATCGTGTGAAAGATGATACTGCGAGAAAGGGAGTGAAAAACGTGTTACGCCGACCACAAACGACACGGAATGAAGAGTATTATGGATGCTAGTTATATTTTTCTCGGGGAAGGCTTTTTAAATTTATAAATATTAAATTTATAAACTGGGTTTCAAATTTGTGTAGTATAATGTAAATTTAGTATGGCCGTGTGGTCCCGGCATAGAATAGGCCACCCTTTCTTTTTCCGTGGGTGTGGTAAAAGTCGACTAAGGGACGGCGAAGAATGGGCAGCAGCGTCCCTCCTAAAACAACTCTAAAGCCTGATTGCGGTTGCCAATCCGCCTGCCAAGCATGGCAACTACTGACAAAACCTTTCAAGGGGGAGGCTTATGTTCAGCAGGGGACAGTTGAAGGCTGATATAATGATGATGATGATGTAGATTTAGACTAAAATTATAAAAAAAGAGAGAGCGAAAACGGAATAATAATAGCTAGACTACTTCACTACATAGTATAAAATAAAGTTGCTGTCGCTGTCTGTCCGTCCCTATGTATGCTTAAATCTTTAAAACTACGCAACGGATTTTGAAGCGGTTTCTTTTAATAGATAGAGTGATTCAGAGGAAGGTTTATATGTTTAATGTTTACATGTGTATTATAGTAGAGAAACATTGATAATTTTAGAGGTTTCTAATGTGATGTGATGTAATGTGCACCCGTGCGAAGCCGGGGCGGGTCGCTAGTAGTATCTACATTTTTACTTGCTAGCACCATCTACCACTCCTATTGGTTCAGATCACAGAAAATCAGCATTTAGGCGATACGTATGAATGCCTAAACATTTAGCGGAGTGGTGACCATTTTAGTCGCATAATTTCCTATTAGTTACAAGTTTATTTTTATAGATAGATAGATACTCTTTATAGTTTCCTTTAAAAGATTACAATAGTAAACTTATTATAAATATAAACAATTACAAGAAATAATCACAATGAGAAAACAATGGGCTACCTTATCGCTAAAAGCGATCTCTTCCAGGCAACCTTTGGATGGAGAGAAGTAATTAATTTTAAATAATTTGGTGGGAGGCACTATGAAATTTTTTTATTTCCTTTTTCTTTAAGTTTATAATTTATTATGTTTTAGTTGTAATTATTATTGATATAGATAGATAAATAATTTATTTATTTGCATAACTTACAGCACACAAATAACATTAGATATTGGTGCGTACTTAAAATAAGAAATAAAACCATACACATACGAAAAAAAAACAAAAGAAAGTACATATAATATAAGAGGTAACATAATTTTTTGTGAGTGTACCACAATATCATAAAACGGTCACAACTCAGTTTGATATGCGCCAAATAAATATTTTTCTTTCTTTCTTTCATATTTACATACATATATATATATATATATATATATATATATATATATATATATATATATATATATAAATATGTTGCAATAAGACGACGAAATTTTTGGAGATTTATATTTGAACTGACTTGTAACTGACTCTCAACTCAGAATATTAACAAATAAAAATTATCTTTTTTTTATACAACTTAGAATGGCAAACAAGCTGACGGGACCGTCAGCTGATGGAAAGTGGTAACCGTCGCCTATAGACATGAGCAGTACCATGGACATAACAGAGTATACTGTTTCGCCCATGATACCCCTCATGCGTTGCCATTCCTGAGAATTCAGATGTTATTCCTCTGTACCCTGTAAATTCACGCCATAACCCACCCTTCAAACCGAAACACAGCCATGCAAACACAACTGTTTCACGGTAGAAACACGAATAGGACAGAGGTTCCCAAGCAATCGACTTTTGTACAAAGTCTCCCTCTGGTAAAAAATCTTATTATACTAAATACAAATAAAGGAAATTAAGTTAAAATGGTGGAGCGACACATCTACTTGTCACGTACAGTGCTAAATTAACAATTATTAAACCTCTTAATAAATTTCCTTACTGCATTACATAGATTGGCCATGTGGTCCCGGCATAGAATAGGCCACTCCTTTCTTTCCCGTGGGTGTCGTAAAAGACATACATACGGGTAGTATGACTTTATTAGCATATTAAAACAATTTAATATACAATGGCTGATTTATTTGTAATAGAAACAGATATTGGGACCTTTAAGAAAAGAGCGTATTCCTTTATTAAAAGGCCCTACGGCGCCTACAATTTCTCCGATGTTACGGATGCCTATGGGCGGTGGTAATCACTTACCATCAGGTGAGCGGTATGCTTGTGTTATAAAAATTTTACTCCACAAGAACAGCGACTTCAATTGTGACAAAGTAAACTGAATGACGTATATTGTAGACAAATTAGATAGAAAATATAATAAAAGTGTTAGTATGTGAAATATTATGTCCACAACCATATTTTGTTTTGCAATACGTAGCTATTTTACTTAGCTAAGAAAAATGTAAACAGTTTTAACCGTCACTCAATTAAGACCGAATCTCAATGAGAATAAAAAAGAATTATCAAATCGGTTCAAAAATGGTGATTTTTTTTACAGCGCAGGGGGCAAACGAGCATGCGGCTCACCTGATGGTAAGTGACTACCGCCGCCCATGATCACCCACAACACCAGCGGCATTGCAGGTGTGCTGCCGGCCTTTTAAAAAGGAATATACTCTTTTCTTGAAGGTTATGTTGTCGTATCGTCACGCTCAACATTTTCATGAAAAACAGAGATGAATGGAGAACTTGCTTTTTTTTACTATATACCAGGGATCGTTATCGACCGGTCGATCGCGACTATTAGTCCAGTGGATGGTGGCGAGGCAAACAATATAATATGTTGCTAATCTAGCGGAAGATGCTCAGACGCGCAATGCTCACACTAATATAAATAAGTAGTTACTAAGAATAATTTTCAATTTTATGTTTTCCCTCTTAATAAAATAAAAAAAAAAATACTACAATACTACGTAATTGTGTATTGAACGTTGTTTCGAATGAAGTTATGGATAAAAGTTTGTCGCTTAAAAATTAAGTTACTTTCATTTAAGTTTGTCTAGTTATTTTTGTTTGTAAATTGTCACAATATTGTACACTGTTTTAGAGAGAGAACTCTTTAAGAGTTAAGCTCGCTTTTGTACATTTAGTTTCCATTGTCATATTTTTTATATATTAAAAAATAATTTTGTATAATAAAGTATAATAAATTATTTATATAATTAATACGTGAAGCAAAAATTATGTATCCCTTTTTTATGAAAATTGCACGGACGGGGGAGTATGAAATTTGGCACACTTATAGTTTATATAGAGAAGAAACGCAAAATGCTAATATTTTTTTTTATTTTTATTTTTACATTACACAAACTACCACGTTTTTGACACACACACACACACACACATACGCATATATACTCTTTTGTTTATTGTTAAAGTCTGTGGTCAAATTGGGAATAGATTCATATTGTTTGTCCTTAATATTATTTGTCTATAGTCTTACTGAATGTTAACCATAATAAATTAATTTATTACAATATATATTACGGTCTAATTTCGACTACTAGGCGACCACTAATTCGTATAAATATACATAATTAACTAAAGAATACCTTCAAGTATCGCTTAACAAGTTTTCACGTTTACACTGTACAAAAATTAGAAGGGGATTCATCCATTTAGATTGAATCCTCCTTTATACCATAAGTAAATTCGTGCTCTATCTACTAGCTCTAGTTAATTAGGTTTGCTGGTAAAAGCAGCCGAGTGCTGGCTTCAAAGAAGCCTAGAATAGAAAGGCTTCCCTTGTGCAGTAGCCTCGTAAAGGTTAGGTTTAAAATTTTAAACTTTTCCAAGCAAATCTCAGAAGAAAGAGGTGCTTAGGTGTATTTTACAAATAATATATATTACGATTAATATAAATCAAAGAAAGTTTATTGAGTGGCGACCCCGTACGGGCAAATGCAATGTAGGACGAACTCCGACTAGATGGAGCGACAGCCTCAAATGCATTGCAGGGAGTTAGTGGATGCAGGTGGCTTAAAAGCATTCCTTATGGCAGTCTATGGGGGAGGTTTATGTCCAGCAGTGGACGGATAGTGGCTGACATGATGATGATGATGATTACGACTGAATAAAATCCTGTTTAATATGGGATAAAATTTAATAATTATAATTTTTTAATTAGATGTTATACATACCTGCCTCTTCACATATGATCACTGACCAAGATACAAATGTTTATATTCA